TCTTGACTCGATTGTCCTTCTGACAAGTCCCTTGACTCCCTTAAGCTAAGTTATGCACAACCCTTGCAGCCTTAGTGCGCTCGTGGGGTCGCTCGAACTGATCAGACTCATTCTACTCCTTACCACCTAGTATTTGCACTAGCTTCCTCCTGCCCTTACCAATCCCATCTTTGAATGATTCAGTAAACTTGACAGTCACTCATCTCTCAAATGCAACCCAAGTTTGAAAGTTCGTGTGAGAAACCCAACATTCGATTTCAACCATTCGATGACAAAGTTCAAAACGAAAAGGAAGTTATGATGTTCCTCCTAAAACATCAACGTTGTCAAATTATGAAATGCCTGCAAGAATCGGTGACCTTACTGTCTTTGAAAGAGGATACATATAATCGAACGTTCCCTTCGTCGTTGTTTCACCCTACAGAAGGCATAAAATTTAATCAATAATCGAATCTAACTATTTAAGTTGAAGCCTTGTCAGGATATCAAACTCAAAACCCATTGCCTTTGTATTTCGATATGATAAATTTTATAAGGTGTACAGAAAGGATGATTACTACCTTTCTTTTCGCAAAATAAAAAATTAGATTTTAAATTAAACATTTATTTTGTAATATATATTGCACTCACATTTAGTACTATATATACAATCACTATATGATTCCACAATGGTAAAATAACTTATGTTTTCTTCAATATTTATCCATCAAAATTACATTACCCGAGTGTTGTTCTGCTAGGGACAACGGTCAATAGTTATTATCCTTGGCAACGACGCCACTTGTCGAACACATTGGTTCCCGTTTTTTTTCGTAAAAGTGAGAGCCCTACTAACCATGTCACGCAGGAGTAGAAGAAAATAGTGGAGACAACTTAAGTACGATGTGGAAGAAATTCCACAAACCGCTAAAACGGACGAGGTTGGATTGTCTCATCACCGACCTAAGATTAGGTACGTACACACATGTTTTCATGCGTTTTAATCCTCTTTTGATAAGAAGTTGTTTTGCGGACGATTCTTGATCATGTACGTGACACGAAGTGTTGCATATCCACCCTCTAGAACGTGGTCTGGGTTACTCCTCCTCGCTCGAGCATAAGACTCGGATCTCAGAAGTCGGGTCGTCTCCACCGAATCCCTCTGTAGAACGATTCACTTTATATCGATAACATGACCGACTCCTAAAGCAATGAGTCCCCACTCCAAATTCTTCTTAGACAAAGAACACGTTCACTGCGGGTAGTTTTCAACTCTTCTAATTTTTCCTAAGCTCGAGGTAGCAACTTAAACGAGAAAGTTAGAGGAGGTAGAGAATGAGAACCATTTGGACATGTATAGACAGATAAGGTCATTCAAAATAGAAAGGGTAATATTGGGATAAAGACTAGATCCATTTAGTCTTGTCTTCTGTAATTGAATCAATTTTTTTTTACAAATGTCCACTGAATTAACAATTTTTAAAACACAAGCCTTTTTGACAAGCAGGTATATCAAAAGTAGACGAAAGTCAATTATTTTTACCAGTCCTAAGTAAGGAGAATCAATCTCCTTTGCAAACATCCTTTTACCTACCTGCACAGTAAAAAACAACCAAAAGTCCAATAGTGCAGCAGTCCATATTCCCGTCAGATCCCCATCCTTCCCACGCATGACCATATATCCTCTACCTCACCCTTTTCCCTTTGAATATTCAATGAAGAGCAGGGTGAAACAGAGTGTGGGCTCATACAAGTGTGGAGGGGGAACCGAGTCACTAATTGACCTTTACAGAAGTGGTGACAAACGCGACCTGACTCACTAAAAAAAAAACTGCAATTCCAAGGTAAATCCCAGACCAACTGCTGGTTTCAATCCGTCCTTAACTTGTATGCCCCATACGCGGTAAATCCAGGTATGAAAACGACAAACTGCGCACGTTTCGAAAAAAACCATTTGTCATATGGTGGGACAAACTAGTTCTACAAGATCCCAAATGGTTTCATACTACTGACTGCATCACTGGATGGTTCTAACCTGTGTAGCATCGTACTCGGGTTCGGTGACCGAACCCAAACGTTCAGGACCGAACGTGAACGAGCGTCGAAACCCGCCGAATGCGAATATAAAAATATTAAGAAACAAAAACGTTCTTAAAAAAATCTGAAAACAATATATGTTATGTAAAATAATAATACGAACAACGTTTGCCTTGGATGTATGTTCAAATTTATAACCAAACTCGAGTTAAAAAATATATATATATATATTTAATATGTTCAGCCGAACACGTTCGGGTGGCGTTTGACCGAACACCCGAACATGTTCGGACGTTCGGAAAAGCTTCGAGCATGTTCGGTGTGCTACACAGATCAACCATAAAATCTGCTCGCTCCATGTACTCAAAAAAAAAATAAAGGCAGTTACGAATGTCGAAACCCCAAGTGTCGTGAGTCCCAATGGTCAGTACGCCGCTTGCTTATGTACCAACGAGTCATGCTTGCCCGCGCACTGCGTCACGTGTTCCCCCCAAAAAAATAAACAGCCCAACATATGCGTCCCAAGTTATTCACGAGTGTCACACAACACAGTCCACCACACTCGTCACCAAGCATGCCCCAATGTTGTTGACCGCCCCCTGCTGCATTCCTAAAAAAAGTAAAATAATAATGTTGTGTGGTGTAATCGAACACTACTCTTGGGACCAAATCCCAAGCATGCACCAATGCCTGTACCAACACAATATCTTGGTCAAAATTGCAAATACTGCATCGCCAAACTAGCAACACGTCCCCTTAAAAACTAGGTCCCTGTCGTCAAACAGGCAACATTTTTCGACTATAAAATGTCGTTGTATGTATGTAAACACAATATAATCGCAAAGAATCATTGGGCTTCACATCTCGCAGTACATGATTCTTTGCCGCCACGCTCAAAACCATCGTTACCACCCTTCTGCCCAGTACTACTCAGGTAGTGCAGCGTCAGCGCGCTCGTCTCTGCTTTATACCTTTCTATCATAGCTTTATACCTTTTTATCCTACTGCTAACTTTGCAAATTGGATAATCTTACTTGAGTTCCGTTCGAACTTCGGCGCTAGTGGCGTTCTACCGCCGCCCTGGGGCCCAATTTTTTTTCGAAAATATAATACAAAAAAAATAAATTAAATCTAGATAAGCCTGAGAAGGCTCTCCCACTTTTTAGAAAAAACATTACCGTTAGGTAACTTGAGTTCCGTTCGAACTTCCATTTTACCGCTGTCCTGCGGCACATAATTTCAAAAAATATGATACTATTTTTTCTTAAATCCTAGATATGTCTTTCTAAGAGGGCTTCCCTATTTCTTTGGAAAAACTTACTGTCACGTAGAGGCTTTGCTGATGTTGTCACGTATGAGGTCTTCAACGATTTTCTTACCTCTGTCGCGATCACTACTTCCCGTTAGTGCAGCAGTTATCCGCTTCTCGTTACAGTAGCCAGTTCTGGCTTCAAAGTTCGTCAGACCCAGCGCATCGTTCTGTCAGCTGTTCTACCCGCAGAGCATCTTTCTCAGTCGGATTGCCATCTCTTCCCAGAATCCACCTACTCTCCTCCCTACGTTTTGTACTTTTGCCAGAAAGGCTTCCAACGGGTATCCTAGCTTCCCAACTTCCTTCCCGAAAGTTACCAGACTAATCCAGGCCGTAACTTTCGTGTTCGTATTGTGCCAGATCCTCCAGATCGAACCTGTGATCACAACCCACTTAACTTTCTTGTCTCGTAGGATTGAAAGTCTTTCAGTGTCTTAAAGTGTCTGGGTTCATCCCCCCAGATACTTTCAATATTCTTGAACCTGTGCGACATGTAGATCCAAGCGGGCACATCCGTTGTAATCAGATTCTTTTCCAGAAAGGTAGCAATCCCATTTCCCCCATCTGTCCGTTCCAGAGTCAGCTCTCTGTGATAACATTGTTTTATCTCGTCCATCCTTTCCTCCGCCTTCTCTCTCTCCCCCTCCTTTGTACTTTCGTACCAGGTTGCCAAAAACAGATCATCCATGAATCGATTTCCCTGTATAAGGTGTCTATCTGCCCCCATTGAGCTCATGAACTTATGTTCTGCTAAAACACACATTACACAGGTCGGCGGGCGGCTTGCTCGGCCCCTCATTGGAATCACGTTTATCTGTTTAAGTACCTTACCACTTGCTTTGAAGAAAGTGTTATCGAGTAAAAAACTTGTGATATCATTCAACGTTTTCATTCGAACCGACTTCCATCCATCCTCTCCATGCGATTTTCCAAAAGTGACTTTTTTTCCCCTTGCTTTCATCCTTATCCATCTGAGGCATTTTTCCTGCAGTCTGTTCACCAGCCACTGAACGCGACTCTCACCTCGTCATACGGCAATTGTGTAAACATTTCCTTTATGTCATAGGTTCTGATGATGATTCTACTGTCCATTTTGGCTAAGTTGTGCGCTTTCTTGTTCACTTTGGCGATTTCCTCCTTTAGTCGTACCGTCCCATCCAGATTGAAGTGCTCCCGTCCCACCTCCTTGAGCATGTAGTTTAACGCTTTGCTTAGCATACCAGCCGCATGCCTTGCAAGGTTACAAAATGAGGGTACTATCGGTCTTCGTTTACAAAGATCTTTGTCTTTAGCAATGACATAAGATTCTTGTAATCTTCTAGCGTTATCCCATTTTGCACATTTTTCAATCCCGGCCTCTCTATATTTCCTCCTCATTTCCTGTAAGACTTCCCCTTCTTCTTTTCCCACCTCAAAATAGTTCAAATTCTCATTGAACATTGTTTGCATTCCAGCTGCATACACCATGGGGCATTCTACCAGAGTTTCCCCACTGTTACGATCGACCGACGATAAGATAAGTCCTCGTAGTGACTGTTTTACGCCTTTGACGTACTCCGCTAGAACCATCCCCTCCTGCATTTTTGGTTGCCTCCATTCCATTTCGTACAATTGCATTTTAACTATTTCTCCCCCTTCTATTAACCCCATCCTTTTTAATGGTTTAATCCTTCATTGCAGGCTCTGTTCATTTTCTGCGCACTATCAAAGCCACACTGTATCGGAGCGTTTTTTGAGTTAAACAGAAGGTTCTTGATCCCGTCGATCTCGCCCAGTCTTACCTGGACATGCCCGTTGACCCGGGGCAGTTGGAAGCCTTCACATGTGTAGGTTGCATCCTCATATGAAAAAAGTTTCTGATTGTGCAGAATGCTGACAACAGTACGGGTCTTAGCCCAAACTATCCTCATTCTTTGCACCAACAGGTTACACAGTGCAGTGTGACGTACCCTCGCCTTTCGCCAGTCCTCCATCCCCCGATATATGTTCTGCTTTCTAATTCCTGGATTGAAGGGAACCTTTATCATAATTTTTGTCATGGGATTTATCCCAAACTTCCTCTTCATGCATCTTGTAATAATCCCCCTTACAATCTGCCTTCCCCTCCTCTCCCTTAAGGTATGTACAATGCCATCCATCTCCAACATCTCTTTTAAGGACTTCCTCAGCAGATCCTTTCTTTTCCATGGTGCCCTCAGGAATCCAATCACCTTGGCTATCTCCGCCTTCCTCTTTGTTCTAATCACGTCCACTAGAGTCCACTCTCCACCCCCCTCGATAACTGTTTTTGCATCTTTTAGCAAGTACTTTTTTCCTCTTTTCTCCATTCGACTAAAGCTATACATCAGTTTGACCAGCTTCCAGGCTTTCAACCACTTTTTCCCTGTTGTATTCATTATCCCTACCTGCTTTCCTCCCTTCCTGTGGATTTCTCTGATGAGTTTGAGCAAGTCCGGTTGCATCTCTTGTCGAACGTATTTGCATGAGAATAACAGAGGTCCTGGATATCTTACCAGAGCCTTCGGTTTGCCCCCGACCTTATCCTTTCTGTTCCTCTTCTGTGTTTTCTGCCTCCTCTTGTGTTTCCCATTCAATCCAGGAATCAAACTTTTTATAATATCCTTTTCAACTGCAGCTACCCCCTGAGGTCCTCCGTACCATATAGGAAGAGCAACATAGTTATCGACTCCGAACTTCCTAAGCCAAGTGTGTACTTTCTGCTTCCCGTTAGTCTTACTGGCATACTTATGCTTATTCCATCTAACCCTCAATTCACGCTTAGTTATACCAACATAAAGCAATTTGCAACTCGGAGAGAGGATCAGATATGCACAAGACGAGGGATTCCCATCCAAAAGATACTCCCTTTCTTCCGCACTCATTCTTTCCCAGAATTGCAGATAATTTCTACCCCATTTCCAGTAACCTTGCATACAACCATAAAGAACAATTCCATATTGGATTCGATTGCACAATACTTCATCAATCTTCCCCTGTTCCCTCAGTATCCTCACCTTTGTGAACAACCTCAACATTGCCCGCTTCGAATGGGCACCTAATTTTCCTGAACATTCTTCACCTCTTCCTGTTTCTCGTTTTCTTCTCCAGGTTCTGAGACCGTCACTCCATTTTCATCCATTTCCCGTAGGGACTTCATATATTCCTCTAAGTCCAATCTAGCTAGTTCCATCACTCCCATATTTGTTCTAATGTACGGTATCCCTTTTTCACCACAGAGAGCACGAATATGCGTGTGGTGCATAGTTTCATAGCTCTCGACTCCGTTCTTCATATAGGCCACTAGGCCTAGTTCATCCTTCTCCTCCAACGTTTCCTCTTCCTCTTCCCCCGTTTGTTCTGTCTCCATCTTCTCGTTATCTTGCTCTTCCTCCTCTTCAGTCACGGCAACCTTCCTATGATCTTGAGCCCTGACCAGCTTTGGCAGTGCTTCCACGAGACTCTTCAGAAGATCCTTAATCTCCCCCATCTTCGTCTGAATGGATGTCGACGTGGAAGAAGAGTCTGCTTCATCAAATTTCTTCTTCAAATTTCCTCCACGCTTGCAGGTATCAGCCTCATCGTCATCGGACAAGACGAGCACCCCATTCTGTGGCCGATTTCGCGCTTTGACTTCAGACTTCGTTTTTACCCGCCCGGCTCGTGGCGAGACGCCTGGTGTCGCCCCAACCCTCTTCCGTTTTTCCGAGCTCATTCCCTCCTTCAGCTCCCGCAGCTCCTTCTCCGCTCGCAGTTTTCGCAATTCATCCCGCTCGGCTTCCGTCATCTTCGCTTTATCCTCCACCTTATCTATCTTCTCCGTTAGGACGCGCAAGGAGCTACCGAATGTAGTTGTCATCCATCGCTTCATTTCATCCTCCCTGGTTGTAGCCGCTTGCTTTTCCTTCTTGTCGTCCTCCTTGGCATTCTTCGCCTCAATTCTCTTCGCCTGAGTCCCATTCTACTTCCCTCACCTCTATTGTCTTCTTCATTGCTTCCGCTACCGCTTCCTTAAACTTGATCTTGTCCAGTAGCTCCGCGTGTTCCCTCTTAAAGAAAGCCCGATTAGGATTGTAGCCCCTCCCATATTCATTGTTGCCTCCATTGTTATTGCTGAACCCGTATGCAGGTTGCGCCTGCTGATGAGGTTGGCCCCATTGCGGAGGAGGTGGTGCTCCCCAATACGTTGGCGGTTGGTAGAAACCTGGCATCGGTTGATAGTTAGGTGGGGGAGGAGGTGGAAGGACAGGTGGCGGATTTTGCGCCTAGCCGTACGATGGTGCTTGTTGCTCCATCCAGTATCGGCCGCACCCCGACCACGTGCCCCGTCCTCTCCCTCTCCCCTTGCCCCTTGCGTACATGAACCGCTTTTCTCCTCGGAACGTTACTTCCTCCAGCACCCTTCAATCTTTACTCGTATCGTGATCTTGAAGATGGCCTTCACCTTCCGCAGGATATTGATGACTGTGCCGAAAATCGCTTCGATGGTGACGCGCATCCTGTCTTCGCGAGCCGAGTCACCAATCCGATCAAGGTACAAAGAACGCCTATCTCCAGTCGGATCTAGACAACCCTCAACATGCATGAAGTATATGAATATAAATAGATATGACTACATTAGTCCTCACTATCTCAATATCTCTCTATACCTCCATAATTTCAATATCTCATTATCTCATTATCTGAATATCACAAAGGAAGATGATGCTCATGGCGACGAAGTCACCACGGCGTTGATCAATCGTTCCTAAGCAATGGCGCAAGGTCGATCAAACCAGTTGTTCGTGTATGTAAACACAATATAATCGTAAAGGACCATTGGGCTTTACATCTCGCAGTACATGATTCTCTGCCTCCACGCTCAAAACCAGCGTTACCACTTTTCTGCCCAGTACTACTCAGGTAGTGCAGCGCCAACTCGCTCGTCTCTGCTTTATACCTTTCTATCCTACAGCTAACTTTCCAAATTGTCGAATCTTACTTGAGTTCCGTTCGAACTTCGGCCCTAATGGCGTTCTACCGCCACCTTGCGGCCCAAAAATGGGTAGCCAAATGACTGCAGCTAAGTCCCGAACAACCATTAGCTGCCTTTTTTTTATGTGGCGTACGTTCTAAGGGGTGTCAGCTCACTGCCAAGGCAGAGGGGGGAAAAACAACTCGTGATTGTCACGAGCTCAAATCCCAACAGTCCCAAAGCGGGTGCAAAAAATACCCCAAACTTGAGTAAAATATTTGTTCAACAAAAATATATGAAAAAACTCATATGTATGGGATAGCATCGTACCTACCCATAAAATATTTTTTTGAGTCAACAAAAATCATTTCTGTCACCAAACAAATATTACGAAAACCGAAAAATATAGGTTTCTCAAAATCTTCATCCCGTTTTTCTCTTTTTTTTTCCCCTCATTTTTTTTTTTTTTTTTTATAGGTCTTGCGACGAGGCAAGGAACTCGTGGTAGCATGCATGAACTATTTGAAATACAGGCGTGAGTTCAAACCCCGATACCATTAGGCGAGGGGGAGGAAATGCTCCCCTTACGACCGTTGTTCGTTCTCCTTGCTTACAGGCCCTGCCTATGAGGCAGGATACCTTATCGTGCTATAGGGTACCAACGACTTTTGAAATACAGACCTAAAGTTCAAATCCAGAGATGGACAGATCATCCCTGCTTAATGAGCAGCGCTACAAATTCACAAAATATAGAAAATGAGATGATTCTTTCACTCGAACACGAAAGGTACATTGCCTCCTGCTCTCGTGGGGCACAAGAGAAAAAAAAGAAAACAAAAACTTAAAAAGCAAAAAAAATATGACACCCATTAAAACGGACGTCAGGCAGGACCGTTGGGAGCCACAACTCCCAACTCCTCATAAACGCGCTATGCGACAATATTTGGTTAGTTTTTTTTTCTTATTCCGTTGGCCTAAGCGCTATGAAAACAAGACTCTAGAACGTGGCCTGGGGTACTCCTCCTCGCTCGAGCACAAGACTCGGATCTCAGAAGTCGGATCGTCTCCACCGAATCCCTCTGTAGAACGATTCACTTTATATCGATAACATGACCGACTCCTAAAGCAATGAGTCCCCACTCCAAATTCTTCTTAGACAAAGAACRCGTTCACTGCGGGTAGTTTTCAATTCTTCTAATTTTTTCTAAGCTCGAGGTAGCAACTTAAACGAGACAGTTAGAGGAGGTAGAGGATGATAACCATTTGGACATGTATAGACAGATAAGGTCATTCAGAATAGAAATGGTAATATTGGGATAAAGACTAAATCCATTTAGTCTTGTCTTCTTTAATTGAATCAATTTTGTTTTACGCGTGTCCACTGAATTAACAATTTTTAGAACACAAGCCTTTTTGAGAAGCAGATATATCAAAAGTAGGCGAAAGTCAATCATTTTTACCTGTCCTGAGTAAGGAGAATCAATCTCCTTTGCAAGCATCCTTCTACCTACATGCACAGTAAAAAACAACCAACAGTCCAATAGTCCAGCAGTCCATATTCCCGTCAGATCCCCGTCCTTCCCATGCATGACCATACATCCTCTACCTCACCCTTTTCCCGTTGAATATTCAATGAAGAGCAGGGTGAAACAGAGTGTGGGCTCATACAAGTGTAGAGGGGGAACCGAGTCACTAATTGACCTTTACATAAGTGGTGACGAACACGTCCTGGCTCACTAAAAAAAAAACTGCAATTCCAAGTTAAATCCCAGACCAACTGCTAGTGTCAATCCGTCCTTAAATTGCATGCCCCATACACGGTAAATCCAGGTATGAAAACGACAAACTACGCACGTTTCGAAAAAAACCATTTGTCATATGGTGGGACAAACTAGTTCTACAAGATCCCAAATAGTTTCATACTACTGACTGCATCACTGGATGGTCCTAACCTATGTAGCATCGTATTCGGGTTCGGTGACCGAACCCAAACGTTCAGGACCGAACGTGAACGAGCGTCAAAACCCGCCGAATGCGAATATAAAAATATTAAGAAACAAAAACGTTCTTCAAAAAATCTGAAAACAATATATTTTATGTAAAATAATAATACGAACAATGTTTGCCTTGGAGGTATGTTCAAATTCCTAACCAAACTCGAGTTAAAAATCAAAAAACAAAAATAATAATAATAATAAGTTAAGCCGAACACGTTTGGGTGGCGTTCGGCTGAATTCCCGAACATGTTCGGACGTTCGGAAAAGCTCCGAAGATGTTCGGTGTGCTACACAGATCCCAACCATAAAATCTGCTCGCTCCATGTACTCAAAAAAAAAATAAAGGCAGTTCCGAATGCTGAAACCCCAAGTGCCGTGAGTCTTAATGGTCAGTACGCCGCCTGCTTATGTACCAACGAGTCATGCTTGCCCGTGCACTGTGTCACGTGGTCCCCCGAAAAAAATAAACAGCCCAACATACTATGCGTCCCAAGTTATTCACGAGTGTCACACAACACAGTCCACCACACGCGCCACCAAGCATGCCCCAATGTTGTCGACCGCCCTCTGCTGCACTCCTAAAAAAAGTAAAATAATAATGTTGCGTGGTGTAACCGAACACTACTCTTGGGACCAAATCCCAAGCATGCACTAATGGTTGTACCAACACAATATCTTGGTCAAAACTGCAAATACTGCATCGCCAAGCTAACAACACGTCCCCTTAAAAACTAGCTCCATGTCGTCAAACGGGCAACATTTTTCCACTATAAAATGTCGTTGTTGTTGCTGTCGCGCTGTAAATTGGACTGCTCCTCCCTTGCAGAAAAACGGCGTTGCTGGCACACTGAAAATTTTGGTAGTGTAACCCCACTGAACCAGGTATAGCCTGGCGCACGGCCACTCTAGCACTACATCAATAAAAGATTTGCCAGCGTCTCAAATTTCGGGATCATATCCCCACCAAAATGGGGATCAGCCTCCCGCAAACTAGACAGCCGATACCTCCACCATAGTCGCCTTGAAACCTGGCGTTGCCGGTGAAACCCTGCCGTCAATTTAATAAAAGTTTGGTGTTGGATAAAATTCAGTCCCAAAGTATGTCCGTACCACACAGTCCTGATCTAGTAACGCGAGCCCAAGAGTCATCCTAGAGTGCGAACACCAACCAGAGGATGGAGCAGAGTGCCCCATGCCTCAACTATGGCTGCCCTCTTCCTCCTCCAGCGCTCCTTTGCAGACCTCTAGCCTCCTCCAATTGCCTCCAACAACTCCTCCAGCAGCCCAACAACACTAAAGTGTGTTATCACACACTAGCATCATAAGTGCTTTTGTGTGGCAACTGGGAACAAGTGTTTTTTATAGTGGTTGAGGGGTGTGGGCCGTCACTCAAAGAAAATGAAAGGAAGAAGGAGAAAAAAAAGGAGGTAGAAGAAGAAGGAGAAGATGATAGAAGTAGAAGGAAAATTAAAGGAAGAATGAGAAAAAGAAGAAGGAGGACGAGGAGAAGGAGGTGCATAAGAAGGGGGAGAGGCTTAGACGAGGAGGCAGGAGGAGAAGATCAACGATGAGAAGGAAGCGAAGACGACGACGGGGCTCACCTTTTTGGCACGGAGGGCGCCCAGTCGACCAGCGTGGCAGCACGGAGAGGAGCGCGACGGAGATTGGACAGCGGTGACGATAAGTAGAGGCGACGACAGTAGGGGGAAGCCCATGAAACCATGGGGCTGCAGAGTGGACAAGACGAACTTAGAATTGGGAACCACGATGTTGTCCCCCTATTCGAATGTGGTTTCTTCAGATCCTGGCAAAACGAGTGAGCCCCCACGGCTGCTTGAATCTAATCTAGGCCGCAGATCTCGGAAGATCGACGGATCGGATTGCAGCTGAAGAAAAAGTTACGAAAAAGACGGGAACCGGTACCCCCAGAAAGAGGAACTTCACCCAGCCCTTGAGGCTGAATGATCACTCTGACACACCTGCGGCTGGTTAGTTCCAAAATGATATCCTAACGTCGAACGTCTGCGCGGTCGTCAAGCCCACCGAGCC